AAAAGGAGAACATAAAAAGCTGAACACTAAATACTAGTAATAATGTAATAGTCCTGTGCCAGCCTTTTAAATATGTAACTAAACTTGACCACTGAGGAACTGAATGCCACGTTCCTATAGATTTTGAATGTCCTTTACTCATGAAAATATTTTTATCTGATGATTTATTTTTCAGCTTTAGACACTTGTAATAGAACTAAGCCACCTAACCTAGATTCAGTGTGACTCATTAACAGACTGGCCAAGCCACAGGTTCAGTCATGTTACTTAAGTTTCTCAGTCTCATTGAAAACCATAATGTGAATTTCCACAGGAAACTCAATGGATGATTGCTTATTTTGCAAATGTGTGGGTTTTGAGTGACATAAAAAGTAAGCAGCCTAACATCAAATCAAAACTATTGCAAAACCATTGTTAGATGGCAAGGTTTCTCTTATTTGTTCAGGTGCCATTTGTAAAAAAGGCTTCTTTTTCTGCCTCATTGGTACATGACTGATAGGTATGGAGAATGTTGCTCTAATATAGATGAACAACTTGAATTAACCTATGAGTTGTTCAAGAAATGGTATTTTCCTGGCCTTCATTATTCTTCTTTTGGGACGGAGGGAGCAATTCCTGCCTCTCCTTTCCCCCCAGTGAACTAAAAGGACTGTTGGGGTCTGAGGGGCCATCAGCCTGCCGCTGTACAAGCAGCTTTTTCGGATGCCTCATCTCCCAGGTCTGATAACTGGAGCATCCATCGCTGAGAAGACACACAACCTGAACTGAAAATGGTGACATTACAACTTCGGTCCTGCCCGTTGCTGCCCTGGCTGGCAACCTCGGGGATGGTGGAAATTCAGCCCCAGCAACTGCCCTCCGTGCTGGACAGGAGCCCTGCTGCCCAGTGTGTGGTGCTGTGTGAGGTAGGGTGAACCAGCTGACCCAGGACAGATGATCCAGGTATGATCAAAGCTGACCAATAAAGGTGTATTCTATACCATAAACATCACACTCACTGTAAACTGGGGAGTTGGCACGGGGTGACCGCTTCCTTCCTTTGATGCCTTCTTATCCCTTCGCTTCTACTTTGTGATGGTGGCCCGTCTCAGTTTCTCAGTTCTGAGGCTTACCTCTCCCTTGTCACATTTTCATTGGTGTACAGCCACTGACTGCTGTCTGTGAGCTGAGTATAACTTTGATTGCTTTATTATCATTGTTCTTATTATTATTACAATTCATTGGTATTATTATTATTCCAGTTTGGTTTATATATTCTGGCAAAATTCCACTTAAAGTCAGTGACAGTTTGGATACAGATTTCCCCTTAATTGGTCTGTAAAAAAAATACATTGAAGAGAAGACATGATGAAATGGCTTGACGTGTAATGTGCTGAAACTTACCTTTGGAAGTGGCATACTTGTAGTCTGGAGATTGGACTTCATGTTTCATTACAAGAAAGTAAAGAGAAGCTGTGATTTAACTGCAGTCACGTTTATTTGCATTTTCTATACACACTTTCTAAGTAATCAAACTTTTCCGACACATTTTTTGAGAGGGGTTCACAATGAAACTGTCACCGTTTTTACTAAAAATAAATACAAGACTTAAAGTGTTGCACAGCTCTAAAATATACAAAGGCTTGGATTTAATGTAAACTTTGAAAACATTTTACAAAAGAAACCATCTTTGCAACAATTTAAAAAGTTCGTATTTACAAATATTACAAAAATACAAAATGGATGCAAGTCCATAAACCATTGTCTTTTCTGCCAGCATGAACTGGTGCTAGTACCAAAATAGTTACACTGTAACCTTCTTAATTTTTTTTTTTAATTCTTTAAGTCATAACCTACAGTATTTCTCTATCTGCCACCATCGCAGCAAATGCACTCAATCACTGACCTTTGGCAAAAGCAAACATTTGCTTTATTTGCTACAACTATTCCATGTCCTCTATGCTGCCAAAACAACAACAACAAAAGACCAAAAAAAAGAGAAAAAAAAAGGGGAAAATGTTATTATTCAGAATGCACAGCTGTATAACTTCAGAAATAATTTCCATAATATCAGTGCAAACAACGGAACAAAAGGTTGACATGACGGCTCAGCAGTTACCTGATGCGTGTACTGTACCCTGTTTCAAGAGGTGAGTGATGTTCCCTTCTCTCTACAGCTTGGCCTCTGGTGCTGTAAAGGTGCAGCACTACAGGGGTCCCCGCCATTCATTTTCCTCTGCCTCCCACATTTGTTATGAACTTTTCTCTTCATAGTGGATTTAAAATCTCTATTTATTTAAGGTTCAATCTTCTAAATATAAACTAGGGAAAAATCCCATTACTTTAAACAAAATAGGTAAGACTATATTTTAATGGGATTGTTCTATGGACTTTTTGTACGTGAAGTATTGCCTCACCATTACAGTAAAAAAAAAATTTTAGTCTATATATTTTTATTTATGGTCTCTATGAAATTGTTGATTGGTAATAAAAAATTATATCATCAAAGCCAATTCAGCTGTATTCTCTTTACAGTCTTGAATGACTATTTAACTCAGGATAAACATGTTATAAAAGTGCTCATTGTAAAATTTTTAAGGGAAATTACTTAAGATGACAAACTAAGGATTTTCTGCCCAATATCTTTACTCATTCCTTTACTCAGGTTCTCCAGAAAGTGGTTTTATATGCTAGTTTCCTATTAAAACATTCTCATTCACTTCACTTGTGTTCAGACTTATTTTCTTAACTAAGCTACTAGTCTTTTGTTTCCAAAACCTTGCTCACCTTACCTTCCTAAAAACTATTTTAGACTTCCCGATTTTGCAGTCCTTCAGCTGAGGGACCACCCCACTTCCCAGCACACGTACCATATGCACAGCAACTCTATCTCACACACTGAATGCAACCAAGCTACACAGGAGGATGCTAGGAAACCCTGAATAATGTATTTCTTACGGTAAGTGCTAGACAAAATCAGACATGAACCTTATGGGGAATAACATTTGGGATTTGTTAAACCATTCTGACTTGCTCAGACTCTTTAAAATCATAACAGTTTTAGGTAGAACCTTCCTCTTTAAAACATGCTCTGCCTGCTTTTAAAAACTCTCAGCTTTATGCACTACATGATTAAAACCAAAAATAAAAGGATAAAAACCCATTTCACACATCCCGCTTCCCTATCATTTACTTATGCTTAAAGCCAGCTTTTAGTTGATTTCTTTAGTACCGAAGTACGCCCTTCCTGCCATCCTACTCAACCTGTCCTACTGCACACCACATTCCTCCTTGCACTATTTTCTCTGCACTGACCTTTCCTCTATTCCAAACCATATCCTATGGCAACCAACGCCACCTGCATCTATTTTGGACAAAGAGGGCCTTCTTCTCCAAGTAGCATGGACGGGGCTACATTGATGGAAACAGTGGTGGCCCAAAGGAGAACCAGGCCTGTTGGTTTTATTCTGTTTAAAAATTAAAAGTATAAAGCGACTTGCGGGTTAAGTCTTTAAAGTACATGTTCTTGCAGTTTTAAGACGAGAAAATTCAAGTAACTTCAAGTAATTCAGTTTTTATTTCCCTGCCTTCATTTGTATCAAAGCAGCTGCTTTGACTTGTCTCCTTTCCCACCCCACCCCAGTCCCCCACCCTGTTCCGTGTTTCAGGTAAACCCAGACAAGATCCCAACTGTATGTGGCTGGCACAATGAACCAGAGCTTTCCCCTTCCCAGCTCAGCAATGGATAGAAATAATGCATACACATACCTATTTCCCAGCTACGTTTTCACAGTGTCATTTTTGTAAATATTTAGGTAGCATGAATCTCATCAGCACAAAGAGAAAGCTTCACTGAAAACTCATCGCGGATATTTACTGATAAATCGAAAGCGCTTCTTGCATGCTTATAATTTATTTGTTTCCTTTATGAACCAGAAACTAATCGTGTTTAAAGATTATAGTTACCAGGTTATGACTGTGTTATGTATCCCAATAGCCTAATAGGAATATGAAAGTTAAGTACTATTTCTTCTTGCATCTCTCCTCTCTGAAGCGATCCCTGCTAGAATAAAGGCCCAGGGGAGGCTGTGGGATGGGACACTTGGGGGCTTTGCATCAGACATGACTTTGTTCTGTCGGAAGCACACTTGCCTTCCCATCGATCCTCACGGTAACCCTCCCAGCTGCGCTTTCCAGTTAGCTTCTTTGGAGCTGCCTTAGAAAGACAAATGGTTACTTTTAATCCCATCGCAGTCAGCCTTTCCATTTCCTTAGCTAAGGTGGAGAATTCCTCCTTCCCACTGCTTAATGTCATTCTTCAGGCTTGTTGCACTGAAAGTGGTTTTTGGTGGCCATGTGAATTTTTTATGTTTGATATGAAAATGGTATTCACAGAATACAGTTAGTATGTTTGACTTCTTTTGTCTTCTATAAACAAGGTTGTTATGCAGTAAATCATTTGCCATGTCCACTTTTTGATAATTCTATTTACAAATTTTTATCAAAAATATGGTATTTACATATGTTTTGTTAATTTCTTCTAAATTTTGTTTCAGCTCATTTTAGTGTAGAAAAATACCAGTCCTCAAGAGCATTTTCTGATTTTTTTTTTTCTCCCTGGGGAAGCACTACAGTGACAGATCTGCTTCTAGATGGGCAGCTTATGGAAAAAAAAATAATCCCCCAAAAAATCACCTTTAACTCTATGGGAAGTGTATAGCCTTGAAATCTACAGTGACAACAGAAATGAGAGTGGGAGAAACCAAATGAAACCAAAAGAAAACAGAATAGACATAGCATATCTTCTTCCTTTTAGAAAATGTAACATAATAAATAGCTACAGCTGTAGTCCTCTGTTTCCCCAGTGTCTTACAAACACAAACACATTTAAGCATCAATATTGCCCTGCATTTTTTTTCTCTCTTTTTTTTTTTTTTGACCGCTACAGCATTGGCCTCTTATATTCACATCCTTACAGAGCCCGAGTGGTGTTGGCAGCCTGATCCTGGCACCTGCGCAGTCTACGTTGAGCTCTGAGAAGACCGATCATCATGGGGGCTGCCATCCGAGTTCTCCGTCTCTCCTTCGGAGATGGCCTGCATCGGTGTGTTGTACAGCCTGCAGCGCACGCTGTACCGGCTGCTGCTGGCTGCTGGAGGTGCCCGTGAGCGCCCAACTCTTGAAGATGCCGACATGGGAAAGCTCTTGGAGGAGAATCCTTCTGCGTTGACCCTGGGGGAGCAGGGGGAGAGTGGGGACAATGCATCAGGGCTTGTCATGGCGGGAGACTCCTCCAGGCTTTGAGGGGCATCCACCGTCAGCTCTCCGGGGGACTTGGGCAAAATAGGACTCTTCAGAATTTCTGTGGCGGACATCCTGTAGCTGGAATCGGACCGGCTGCCCTTTTTAAGAAGCAGTAGTTTAAACTCCTCATTGGATGTGTTGGACTTATATGAGCCCGGGGGACCTCTGACTGCTTATAGGAGTGCCCATGCTGCCGGCCAGTGGCACATTGCTGGCAGGCAGTGTGCTGCTGGCAGGGGGCTGGCTGCTAGCCCCAGACGAAGCTCTCAATCTGTTTCTTACAGAAAGATCTCCAGAATCCTTTCTCCCAAGAACTTTCCTTTTTGATCTGTAAAAACACAACGAAACACTCCTTCATACATTATCTTTGTAGAGTAACACTTAATGCTGGTCTAGAGTTTCACAGATTGACCATGCTTTCACATTAGCTTGAGTTCTCATAATCCCTCTATCAAATACTGGAGGCTAGCAGCAACTGATTGCACTTTAAGCCATGATAGCTCTTGTGCAATGAGTGAGGCACTAAGCCACTCTTCCAAAACGAAGTATGTCCAACTAGCTCTTTATAAAGACAACAACGCATACAGAGTCTTATGTAATAATAATACTCAGCATAACCTATTCAATTTCAGAAATCTGTAATTTCAGTTGTCATCACAAATTTCAACTGAATACAGAATACTCTAAAATTAAAGATATGTCTTCTCATCATTCTTACTAAAACGACTTACTCACCAGAACAGAGCTGGTGGGCAGAAGGCAGGAACCACTGCAGCTAGTTTTCTTTGGAGACACATATGTTTGTTAGAAAGAATGGCCTGACATTGTTATCTGTGAAGTGAAGATACTTAGAGTGTACAGCAGACCATAATAAATCATATTTTAAAAGCTGCCTTTTAGAAAACTAAACTCAATAAACTAAAGAAGGTAGTTTCAGGACAAGACTTAACCATCAAATAGCCATCCTGCAGCTACTGCTAGTGGGCAACTGTGCAGGGCTGCAAGTTACCATTCCCCATTGCCACAAGGTTAGGTCACCTGTGAATGACTGCAAACAGATCCTCGGTAGTGCGGGGTTTGTTTGGAGACACAAAGACATCCTCAGCGTCAGCCTGCAGCTCCTCACTCAGTGGAGACACGATGGACTCGTCGCTTGGAGAAGACTCTTAAACAAGGAAAGAAGCCATGCTGTGAGTTAGACCATGTCGTGCTTTGCAGCAGCACCGCTAATGCAAGGCAGCAGCTCGGTTCACAACCAAGTGGCCGATACTACCATATAGACTTCATCCTCTGATCTAAACACCATGTACATTGCATGTTGGAGCCTATGGACTGGACACCACCAGTGCCTGAAATCAGGATCTCCCATTTACTGTACAGCTGTGATAATAAGGCTCCTCTGTACCCTGGGTTATTGTTCTTCCCTTTTCTGTTTTCAGCTGAAATGTAGCACAGGGGAGGAAATCAATATCAGAGAAATGGACTCTGAATACACTGAAAAAGCATAAAATATTTTTTGGGCTGGCTGGCCAGCTAACAGATCAGAGGGCTCTGTGCTTAAGCCTACAGAGGCACGCTGATTTGCATCTACAGCCCACATTGCTCAACGCTTTTTGACTCCAGCACTAGTCACATCCAAAGCCACATGATTGGGTATATCACAGAAAAACTGACCTTTCAGTGAAGGCTCATCTGCGCCGCCCACTGTCTCGTCCACCCTGCCGTCATCAGAGGCACTTTTGGTTGGGATACCTGATGCGATATCATTTTCCTGCATGCAGCTAGCTTCGCCAAGTGAATTCACTGCTGCCGTCTCCACTTCATAGCCGATATTCCCAGGCACGTGGTGGCTTACATCGGGTTGGTGCTTAAGATGATCGCTGATGGCTGCTCCCTCCACCTGAGCTGGGCTTTCACCTGCAGGCCCAGCTTCCAGTCTCCCCTCGCTGCCTGCAGAGAGCTCTTGCTGAGCCTGCACTTGCTGAAGGTCATGCTCTGTTTCTGCTCCCTGGCTGGGTTTCTTTGCTTCGTCATCACCTGTGAGGACAACTGAGCCCTTCTGAAACCCATCTGCAGATATGGCACATGTCTGATTCAGAGCACTTTCTGGGAAGCGCTCAGTGGCCAGGTGTGTTTGGTCCTTCCTGGGTTTGATTTCAACCAGACTCATGGTGGCTGAAGTTACAGCTTCTCGCTCACAGCTATTCTGCCCACTGAAAGAGGAGCTTTTCTCTAATGGCGGCTTTCCAGGGCCCGCTTCTGCTGGGGAAGCATCAATGTATGACATTATGGCCTCCTCCGTGGAGTACTGGCGTGATACTGGTTTCTTAGCTAAGAGTGGCCTCATTTTGCCTGGATAAACATCAGTCACCATCAAGGCGGACTCCTGTATGCAAAGCAGGTCTGGAGTGCTGCCTTTCTGTTTCCCTCCTTCAGGCTTGTTGACTGCTCGGAGGTGGACAGACTTGAGAACAGAGGGCGTGATGGCAAGGGCGGAGGGAGGGCTGGCATGCAGGGCTTCCCCGACCGCGCTCTGCTTGCTGTGGCTGAAGGCATGCAGCTGGTGCCTGTGAGCGAAGGGCTTGCTCAAGACGTTGTGAAGAGCACTTAGGTCGAGGTGAGTAGGAGGTATAATTGGAAGTTCGAGGTCTTTGCTCACTGAGGCGGTGCCATCTTTTGAGAGTGGCTGCTGCAGTGACGACTTCCTCTCCGGTACTTTCGGTTTCCTCTTGCTCCCCCCTGGAGACAAGGGTCCCGAAAAGAAAGCAGTTGGAAAAGAAGAGGTGGGTGTCTCTGACTGACTGGAGTACCCGCTGGAGGGTGATGCTAAACCCGCCAGCTTCTCGGGGGAGGCCAGCTTAAACTCATTATCGACGGAGGGGAGGGATGGGGTGGTGGCTCGTGACCCGGACTGGGATGTCTGGGATTCAGAGCTCTCTGGTGACTTGATGCACTCTATGACTGTAGTACCCGTAGCGGTGCTTGAATTGGACAAGGACCTGTAAGGATCACTGGATTTCAAGTCGTTCAGAAGCCAGAGGTCTGCATAGTGAGGTTGTTCAGCACCTTCGTCTTTAAAGGAGGGGATATCGGCAGTATCGAATGGAGTGTCCTTTAACCCGCCATCACCCTGGTTTGCCCAGGGAAGCTCCTGCTTGGCTGGCTGATTGAGGCCTTCCACTCGGGAGGGAGTGTTTGAAAACTCAAGGGGCAGCTTCATCTCCCTGGCGGTGTGAGAGACGTGCTGCCCACCACCAGTCTTTGGTTCTTTCTTATCATGAAGGTCGGTGCTGCTCTCCGATTTCCTCAAAGATGAGCTGCGTTTTGGTGGGGCTGGCTTTGCCTTTGGTTTCTTCAGCGAGATGCTCTGCCGTCCCTGCCTCCTGTAGCTCACGCACTCCTGCCAGGCACAGTCAGCCAGGCTGGAGGTCATGCTCCCCATCTGGCCACTCTCGGAGCCCGCGGCTGCATAGTTGCAAATATAGCTTTTATTACCCTTGAGACCACAGTCAAAGTGCATGGAGGTATAGTATCCTTCGGTATCCACAGAAAAGTGTGAGCTAGTGTCTGCCTTGTCAGAGGGGCTCTTTTCGAGGAAGCTGTCATAGGTGGCCATGCTGGTGAAGCTGGGGCACCCAAGGCTGTCGGCCTTCGGGCGCTCAGGGCTGAAGTCCTGGCGGCAGGAGGCATCGTGGCGATGGTGCAGGTAGTTCCACTCGCTGTCGCTTGTGTTGCTATTGTTGGGGTCATCCAGTAAATCCACCACAGTGGAGGTGAAGGAGCTTGCCCTGTGGCCCCTGACCTTGTCCGTGTGGTCACCAAACTGCTCCGTGATGAAGACATTGGAGTCCTCATTGGTGTTGGGAGCAGTGTTGAGTGACAGCTCAGAGTCACAGTGTGAAGAGCCTGTCAGCGGAGGAGAGGCAGCAGGAGGAATGGTTTCAGACGTCTGGGAGGGACATGTGGAGCTGCTCCCACTCCAGTTGCCACTGGAGGACTGGTGGTCATCTTTCTGGTCCATGTGGCTGCTGAGCAGGACTCCTGCTGTGGAGATAGAATGAATGGGGCTCCCGAAGGTGTCTGAGTTGGACGAAATCTCGCAGCTGCCCGAATCAGCCATCCTTGACAGCCGCGACCTTCCCCTCTCACCGATGCTGTGTTCAGGGCTGTGCAGGTGCTGAGGACAAGTTAACTCAATGGGCTGGCACTCTTGTGAACCCTGCTTGCTCAAGACCTCCTTCCCCTTTTTTGGGATCCTCTCCTGGCCAGCTAAGAAGTGCTCTGCTTCATACCCTGCGCTCTTGGTAGTGGCATCCTGATGGCCCTCGCTGGCCCGGGCACCCTCGCGAGGAAGGCTGCGTGAGCGGATGCGGTTGCTTACAGCGGCTGCAAAGACGGCATCCCCGTTGTCTGCCAGCACCAAGATGTTGCCGGCAGAGTGGGAGAGGGAGGCGACAACGCTTTGCCCCCTTTGGGCGCGGATCCGCCGCCGGGAGGGAGCAGCTATCAGGATTTCTTCCGTCTGGCACTCTGAGTCCCGGGTCCCCGACCTCCTGCTGCCGGAGCCGGAGAAGTCCGGGTTTGTGTGCACAATCACATTGCGCTCTCTCGCCACCGGTGACTCGTCTGAATCTAGGACACATGGAAAGCCAGGTGAGTGGGAGACAGCTCCACATTTCCTGACGCGAGACGACCCGCGGAGCAACCCAAGAAGCATTATCTGCTGTATTCTTTCTTTTTGAATCTTGCTGAGCATTAGGCCAAATTTAATTTTGCTATAAGGAGTATATATCATCCCAGTGAGGTGGGGAAATTCTCCTAGTCCTGCAATGTGATCTCAGCTCTCCTATTTCTGCAATGTGATCTCACGCAGAGCTGATCTTGCTGTGGTAAATATTAAGATAAATATTAAGTTTTCGGTTTTGTCACTCTATTTCAACTAGTTGAAGGCATTTTTTAGGAGTGGCTGCTGGACAAAACACTCAGTGAGCTTCTAAAAATAACTCAAGTTTGACTACCTGTCTGTCCAGAATTTCCATTATCTGCTTCTTTACTACCAAGAATATTTGCAAGGCAACAGGATCTTCTTTTCATAGGTTCTCTGGTTGCTTATTCCCTATGATAAACACATTCCTTCTGCTTCCCATCAGGTTTCATGGCAACAGACCGAGATACCAGAGCCCTCTTCAGGTGCAGATGAACATTAAGAAGTAATGATCCTGTTAGCTTCATTTTGGGTTAATACCAATTTTGCACTAGTTTGCCCTCAGCAGAGTCACTCCTAATTTACTGAGGACAAAAAGTGAGGTAAGCCACTCGATTTCAGGCAAATATCCTTGGTAATAAAGAATGAAAGGAAGGAATCAAGGATGATCGTGACAAATAAAAGGAATGTTTAGCAAAGTTTTCCGTAGGGTACCAGCAGCTGTCCCTAAGGCGGATATCCAACTGCTCATCTGAGTGAGTTAGCCGGCTGCTGTGACAGCTCACTATCACTTTGCTGAGCAACATCTGTCAGTTCTTTACCTTAAGCTCCCCTCACGCAAGAAAAAACTTTCACTTAATCTAGTTACTTTTTATGCACATAACTATGGGTTCGTAACAGAAATAAAATGGAAAAAAAAAAGAACTGATTAACATTTACACGATAAGAGCTGGACACGTACATCTATATTACTCGGTAAGGCCTCCAGTCTGTCAAGGCCATATGGAGTAATATAGCTTTGCTTACTGTAGTAAATCAAAAAAACAAACCACATCATTCCCAAACTCCACAAGCATTTATACTTCCGAGGTTTCGTTTCTTTGGAAGGCTGGCTACCAGCTCATATTTCTGCAATTAAGTTGGTTAGAAAGCTATCTACGGAAGATTTGTATTTATACTACACCTATTTCTTGTTGCACTCTTCTGGGGATGCCAGAGATGGTTTTCCTCCTCCTCAACTTTCGTCTTCGCTGTAGTACAGATTGTGAATGAACAAGAGAGCAGCGTATACTAGCCTCTCTGTCAAAACCAACTCCTGCAACCCATAAATAGGTCTCATTAGCCTTTAGAAATAGTAAACAAATTTTCATGGCTGGAACACAGTGGAGGTATGTGAGCTTGGATTAAGCCTGTGAATAAACATAAGGGAGCCCTTATGTAGCTCTTATGTAAATTATATCACAGTATATCACAGTTTTACATCTAATTCCAGCTCCCTCTCAGCAGCCTGGTCTGCCAAAAATAACAGAAGGAGTAAAAAAAAAAAAAAAAAAAAAAAGAAACGGAAATCAGGAAGGAAAATAGAGTTGAGAGCTCTTGGTAACAAGGCATCTTTCTTATAGCTATTTATCCATCTGTCATAGGGATAATGACAGTAACTTGTCTGCAAAGAGTAATCTGTTCAGCTGTAGCCTGACTTATTTTAAGCAACTAAGCGTAAGAAAACAATTTAAGGTTATAATGCCATATTGCAGTAGTTGGGCACTTCTTAGGAGACCAATATGCCAAGGGGGCTAACATTTCAAAAAGGAAGGAGACAGCTAAAATGGGGCCAAGTCCCTGTGCAAGTTTAGAGAGCATTCATCGTAACGATGACACATGACCAAAGATGATATAAATGGGCAGTGGCTATTTACTTGCACGAATCAGTAAGTGGCCTGATTTTCCCAAGTGCTCAGCACATGGTGGAATGCACAGGAGACCACTCTGGGCATGGGGTCATGCAGTTGATCAAGATCCTCAGTTTGGATTTAGGGGCCCAAGTTCTTTGGCTTATTTATTTATAACCAAATTCATACAGAACAAGTGAGAATTCCTCATTTTCTTTATGTTTCCATGGCACTAGCACAGAGAAGTGTAATTCACTTTGTTTTTTACACTGTGTTGTCAAAATAAAGTTAAATGGAGGCCCATCAGAAGACCAGTGCCCATCTGCACTGGGTTTCTGCAAAACTGTACACTCATGCTCTCTAAAGTTGATGCAGGACAGGTTCGAAAAAATGTGCCAGGTCCATAAAAACACTAATATAAGGATTGCTGGTACAGTGGTTTGTAATCTTAAGAAAAACGAACAAACTAAACCAAACAAAAGGAAAAAAAAATCCTGATAAGAAGATCTATTTTAATAGCGTATAATTATAGAAAACATAATTATACACAGACATACACGTACATATTACACTACATAACAATGTAAAACATTAAAAAGTAACTTTCTTGTAAAAGTTCTTCTTGAAATCTACTACAGTGAAATAGAGGCTTCAGACAGATGTCCTGTAACCACCAATGCCCCTGGAATAAGCAGAGGAAGAACTTTCTTTAATATGGAACAAAAGTGCCGTAAACTCCAACAACAGTCATTTTCAAAAAAGTGAACATTTCTCAGGGTTGGGAGAAGCTTAAAAAGCAAAAAAAGAGAACTGAAAGCAAACTCTTTGAAACAAAAAAAATCAATCAGCATCACTGCCAGTTTTCCAGCAACTGTGAGTTAGCCGAACATGCTCTGTGTGCCAGATGCACGGGGGTCATCTCCGAGAGGAAAGTGGAAGAGGGTATATCCTCCCCGTGACGCATACAAATTATTCCCATTAGTGCTAATGAGAATGATACACATAAACATCCAGAAGATTACATACCATTCTTGATCTGTAAAACTGATCAGTGGAAATTTGGTTCCAATGTATGGCGGGTGGAGTCTAGGCAAAAATGTCTATTACTGGAAAAGTTAACATTGGTCCCAAATCCAACTCTCCTCTGAACTGCATTAGGTGACATTAGCCACGTTGGAAAGCCTACACCTGTTAGGGTCCTACAGAATCTAGAAAGAGCATCATTTTAACACCAGCTTTACCTCATGAAAACGTGCCACACTATCTGTGACTTTCTGCAGGGGTTTCTATCGGCAGTGCCCAAACCTGTGGCCTCAACCAGTCTCCAGCCCAGCAGGTCCTATGCGAGCAGCTCTGCCAGCCAGCTGCCTTCCCTCCTGTGGGGCCCTGGAAGCACGGTCTCGGTGGTGGGGACACCCGCTCCTGGCTACCATTACCTCAGGCAAGCAGAGCTGGTGGCACCGAGCTGCGCCACCTCTGCTGCCAGGGTGAAGGGGAACAGGGACTGCATTGCCACCACCAGCAGGATTCATGCAGCAGTGAAGCACATAAAGATTTGTCACCGTGATGCTGTATGAGAGACATGCTGCAAGCCCAAAAGCCCAGAGCCCCTTGGTTGGCAAGTGGGGAGCAAATACTCGGGGCTGGAGCTGGGCTGTGGGCATACAGCCCTGCTTGATGCTGTGGTGAACCCCACAGCCCATCTTGCAGGAAGGCTGGGTACCACTGATAGACACAGGAAAGAGCAATGGGATGTGAGGGGCTGTGACCTCCCCCCCTAGCCCACCAGCTACTGGGAAAAAAATAGAATTAAATACAAATATTTTCTCTGGGGAATGAAGACTAACTTAAGGCTCCCTGCCTTTTTCCTGATTGTTTATATTGAAGTCTATAACTGTGGAAGCCCATTTTATGCTTTGACATTAATCAAAACTTGATGCGAAATATTATTGAGGAAAACTCAGATCAACTTTATGTTTACCATAGCCCTCTGGAAGGAGAGAAAAAGAAAAAGAAAGCGAAAAACAGCCTGATTTTTTATTCTGCAAATAAGTCATCTATCACATTTAATAAGTGATATACCTGCAGCTTCTATAAATAAACTCTTCTTCAATATAGCCAAATGCATCCAAATGTTATATAAGTAAAAGAAAATGCCATTACTATACCTTCAGCATAGCTGCATGTAAAGAGATCTCAGAGAGATGGTTTGCATGCTACACAGTCATGCCTTGCATGTTTAAAGCACTGCAAATAGTAGCCTACATTCTCTAGTTTCTCTTCTCCTGCTACACATGATAATCATATGATTAATTTTGGTGGCTTTCTGGATTATTTCAGTCAGCTACATTCAAAAAGTTATGTGAGGTCTTTGTAAATAGATAACTGTAGGTTATATACACAACAAAAGTACATTGTTTATACTGGAAACCAGTGTTACGTTACACTGTATAACACAACTCTGAAAATATGGGCCAAATTAATCCTAGATGCAGCTTCAGTGACTCCAGTGGCCATGCATGAGGGATGAATTTAGCCCACCGTCTTCCAGAAACTAAATCCTCAAGCTAGGGTCTTTGGCCCTAGACTGCACAATCCCATGACTTCAAATAAATTAAACAAAATAAGTACTTGTCCTCCCTTGAACCATGCAATAAAGACAAAAAGAAATAGAAGAGATTTGTACCAGTGACATTGATGGGGATAATGCAAGAAGAAATCACTTGGGCATCTTGTTTCATTTTCTCCTCTGGAGTTGGGAGAGGTAGTGCTTTACTCCAATTGGTTTGTTTATCCAGTGTAGAAGGGATATTATGTATTGGATTTTTCGGCCTCTGCCCTAACATGACATCTGTATCTTCGTCCTCTGGTGGATGGGACTGCAAATGAATACATTCAAAATCAGTGTCTCCCACTCAGGCACACAAGGCTAATTTTGAAACAAAGCAGACACACAGATCAGAAATCAATCACAGGGATGCAAGGAGGAATCGTTCTAGCTAAGACACACAGCATAATCCAGTCTCCAACAGAAAAATAACATCCTGGTAATGGGAGAAAAATACCTCAACATACTGGAATTCAGCGTATTTACAGTGACATTTACAGGACATCTCCTCCATCAGAGGGGGCATGGGCAGCCATTGCAAGTGTGCCCTCAGTTACCCTTATTTGCATCTGTAGCCTTTTGAACACCTGAGTCTGCTGATTACTAGCAAGGACTGACTCCATATAACCATTCATTTGAGGATAAGCATCAGAAAGCCCAAAGTTTCAAAAAAGACCCTTTCATACTTCAGGAAACCATTTGCATTTAATTTTTACAACCTCCGACCATGAGCAGACAGAAGTCACAGCCATCCAGCAGCTACGTGGTGAGAAGCAGCAGGTGTTAACAGTGCCAGGGAGGGGGGACAGTGGCCGTAGAGAAGAGTAGCCACCACCAGAAGAAATTGAAAGGGTTATTTAGAAACCATGCACATGTCTACAACATGCTACGAGAAGCGATAAATACAGAAGATACAGAAATGGAGAGAAAAGTAAACTGTGTGGAAGAAACACAGTTTGTTTTCTTTTGGAAGAAATAACAAATCCTCCAACACCACTGTCTTGCAAAGTCGCTATAATTTTACCTAGTAAAACATAAATAAATTATGTGCATTTTCATGCGCTGGCTACCAACTTGGTTTGGGGGTCTCTTTGTTTAGGGGGGGGGAAAAAAAGTTTTCATTTTGTTTGGAAGGGATGGATAGACGAAACACTTACCTTTTTCTGCCTAATTTCCCTGCCTTTTTCCATTAATACATTCTTCTATAAGCTGTGACAATTCTTCGACCAGCCCAGGACGTCCATCTGCCTCTCAGTTTTTAAAAATGAAGCACAATCCCTTTCAGGCTGGCTTTCTCTTCAGTTCTGAATTCCCAGCTGCTTAACTACCAGCCTTCCCCCTCATGCCTGCTGTTTACACTTCATTTGCCAGTTTTAGTTTCAGTAGCAAACATGGTGAGGATAAAATACTGCTCTCCAGCTCCTTGCTGAGTGTTGAACACCGCAGGATCACGCCCGGTCTGCCATTGTATTTCTGCCACTCCTCTGCCCAGGCTCCTCACAAATCCTGGGGAAATTAACCATCTCAGGCTTCCCAAACAGCATTTACGCCCGGCCCCAAGACCATTTAAGATCTTAACTCGACAGCTACTATTTAAACTGTTGGAGGGCACTTACTTACCTCGCCAGCGTCACCTCTTGCAGCACCCCCAGGCCCAAGACACACGCTTCCTCCTCCCGCCCGCAGAAAACCCCCTTTTCCCACGTTGGATCTCAGTCAAACATTGCAGCCTTCTTTCTGCCTGCAGCTTTTGTGCCGATCCCCGGCAGACGTGAATAGCTCGTATAAACTTCAAGCACAAAAGACTTTGTTTCCTAGGTAACTCACCCCCCAAAAAAAAAGTTTGATGCATGCATGCGAAAAAACCCAAACCCTCACACACACGCACGGACACACGGACACCCACACACGCAGACACAGACACACACAGAGGCTGCATTTGTTGCCGATTCCTCCCCTGGATGACAATGAAGCGCTGGACAAAGCAGGCGAAGTGACCCTGGCTGCCAGAGCTCCTCCTCTCCAAACAGTGGCATCACCAAATGGCCAGAGAATAAATGCCTGCTGTCGTGCTGGCATTGCCCAAACAGTTTATTACCATTTAAAAAAAAAAAAAAAGAAAAAAAAAAGGAAGAAAAAAGGCTGTTCTGCAAAAACACTGCAAAAGATTGAAATGCAATCACTAACGCTACCAAGTCTGTCCTGGTTCAGGCCTTTCAAAGGAGGCGATAGCAGCAGGTGGCCTTGTGGCCACGAGCTCCTGAAACCCATCCAAGGTGAAGAATGAAAGCAGCGAGTGAAAAAAAGTAATTATTGTGTCTTACAGACATGAGAAAAACAGAAGAGGCTTCTTTTAGCACAGTAAAGTTAGCAAGGGAAAAGCAAGCAAGAGGAAGGGTTAGGTTCTGGAAGGGAGAAGAGTGAGACAGGGCTGTTAGTTGAGGATTGCTTGTTTTTCCAGTACCTTTCTACTCCAGGGGGTCATGTGGCAACACTCAATTGGGGAGGGCGAACGGGTGCTGTTAAACTATAAATGTGAAATGTGAAAAAAAAAAAAAAATTAAAATTAAAAACATACACAAAACGTTTCTGGTAAAATCACATCATTTTTGTCTGGACGTATTAGCATGAGAGGCAAAACAAGCTGAGATTTCCACTCTATTTCCTACTGATGGGTTTGTTTCCCAGAACAACTACTTCTTTACAAAATGCAGCTCAAGCAACTGTGCCCACAGAGTGGTTTGGAACCCTGTGAAGTCTGGGCTGATATTGCTTACTCAGATTAGACAAAACTGCAGTGATATTGGCTCAACCTCCCTGTACCAACATGCTTAAATTGTCCCAAGAATCCCTTACATTGATTTGGTAACTCAAACTGTGTACTGCCTAGAGCTGAAGCAGTGCAAGATACTTATCCCATTACATTATAAATTATCTATTTCATAATATAAATGATTTTTTTCTGCATGAAGTATTTAAGCAATTGACATAAATAATACTGGTCCTGAAGGTGATTTATCAAATACATTGATTGCTAAAGTTTTCTGATGTTATCATTACATTTCTAAGGCTGAGGTCATTACATCAGGGTGACAACGGCCAATTGGCTTTTTGTCACTATTTATAACACTTGAAAGGGCATATAGAGATGCCCACAATGTCTCGCCAAATTCCTGCACCTCTGAAATCCTCCTCTGGTGGAAACTCTGGTTTGTTTGTTGCAATGTCCTGTTTTCAAAACCAAGGAGTAAAGGATGACTTCTTTTGGAATAGAAAATAAAACAAAAAAGGAGATAAAGAAAACAGGTCTGCTGATCACACTGGGAAGCTCTAGCACATGTTCCTTGGTGGAGGTTATTATCTGCATTAGTTAGCAGACCTGTCGAATAATCCTATGAATGTTTTTCCTCCCAGTCATAATCAACATTGCCATGATGGATGAACGACAAATCCCAGGCTCAAAGACTCTACATTATATGGTCTCCTTTTGAGGGAAAATAAATAAATAAGTAAATAAATAAATACATGCTGTGCTGAGTCTCAAAAGACCTAAGTGCAGTTAACAGGATCAAGGTTTGACCTGAAATCTATCTTCCCTGTGGAAGATGTCTGGAAGGGTTGAGACAGGGGGAAACAAATGCTGCTGAGGTGACAAGAGTTCAGGATATTAAAATCTTTGCAATGTCTCACAAGGGCCTATGATGGTCCTAGTCAGCGCACAAGGAGAAGAGGACAGGAGGGACCTCTTGGCCTGAGCTACATGCACAAGCTGCTCAGAGGCAAACCTCCCCAGGAGAAACTGCAGGACCTCAGCTTTGGCCTTGGATAAAGTAGTGTGGGCTACAGCCAACACAAGCAATGTCTGGCCATCCATCTGTCTGTCCAGTTGGTGCAGGGCTTTCTTGCCTTCCCCACGTGCTGCTCTCCCTGAGACTTCTGAGAAAACACCCATCCAGTTACATGTACCCATGGCCATCATTTGATATGTCCCGGTTCCCTGTTTAAGCACTGCAGGACAAACTTCCTAGGTAGGTTCCTACCATGAAGAGGAATGACAGAAATGGAGGTGACCAGCAAAATTTCAGCTCCTGCTGTCACAGCAGTGGCCCTGAGAAAGATGGTGCCACCACTACCTCACCAAGAGGTCCTGAGATCACCTGCTGCCTGTTCCTGCATGGTGCCAGGCAGCAGCTGGGATATAGCAGCAGCCTCAACATTTCAACACCTCCACACTGGGAGAGAGGGAGTTGCTGCTCTTCAACTGTTCTCATTCACTCAGAAGACCGGAATATCTCTAAATGTCCTGAGTAAACACATAATTAAGCAAGAAATTATTATTATATACCCAAAGCTGTTCTGGTCTGATGGGCAAAGCTGCAGTTAGGCAGTTTTCAATGTGAATTTCTTTTGTGTGGGTGTGCTTGGCAAACAGCAACGGTGATAATAAATCTGTTAAATACAAAGCCAGAATACTTTAAATAGGCATTTTTCTTTAATGGGCTAAGATTGCTTTGAAACCAAGCTGGTGCATAATTGCTTGAATAGGGATTTATTCTGCAGTCACTGGCAAATGCGAGCATCTTTATTTTCTGAGCTATCCCATCAACTTCACTTGCAGAGGTGCTGTTGTGCTTGTGAAACTGCTTTGCAGTAAAAATCCTGGTTGCACACGCACGTGATCTGATTTTTTGGTGCTCCGTGTCTCTTCAATATGAAAGTCTTGGGTTTCTGTGCACTACAGCAAAAAAGTCAGGTGTCCAAGTCTGAACGAGTCAACAAGGCTTCCCTATAGGAAGAGCCTAGAGTTACTTGCAGGTACCTAAGTCAGGACACACCATTCACTCTTTTAGTGAATAAAAATCTTAAAACCCATCAGTGCAGTGACAAAGAAGCAATTTACCAGTCGACAGCCTTGCCAGACTAGCAATTTATGGGCCTGCCTCATTTATGATCCCAGAGCTGGGATTTGGAGGAGGAAATGAATGGGTCAATAACTGGACAAAAATGCCACTTCAGCCCCTCTTCTGTTTTCCATCCCCCAAAGCTTTGAGATGCCACTGTTGTTTGGAGTCTTCAAGATATAAGGCAAGACTAGTGCAAGAAGAATCATTTGCATTAAATCAGGTACTGAGCCTGCCTTACCTATAGAGTTAGCATTATAGGAGATGCTGGGATTTCAAAGTTAGTGCACAGGGCACACTGAACATGAGGTGAGGGGGAAAACACAAACTCAAGAATAAAGAACTAATTTTTCTTCAGGTCTTGAGAATGCTAAAGCCTCATCAAGAGCATTTACCCTCAACATCTTTGTCAAATTTAGGCACGGTGGAGTTGATTCCTTCCCCCTCATCTGTGTTTGACCATGTAGGCAAGGTGTTACCTTGAAGGACATGGGAGAGCCTGCTTCTTCACTGACTCACAGGAGTTCAGGAAAATGCTATTGATTTACATGGTGGAAAAATTAAAGGACGGTAAAAGAAGAGATACTAATAAAAGGTTAGCAGCTTTCCAGTGTTTTCAGAGCACAGTTGACCAAATTAGGAATTAACATTCATACCTATACAGCAGCTTCCTTATGCAGTCAACTGATGCCTAAGAAAAAACAACAGAGATACTTCTGACCATGCTATTTCTGCTGCAGAACACAGCCCTGCTCACCTGCTTGCTCCCAATGTTAATATTTCCATATGTTTCATTGTCCTCGAGTTTTTGTTTTATCTGCTTGTGGGTGTTTTCTTTTCTTTTGGAGCGTCACAAATGCAATCTGTTAAAGCACTGACAATCCTTTAATGATTAATGTACTGCTCCAATGTTTTGACAAGGTAAAGACAAAAATAAGACGTGTTTTCTGACAGAAGTCATACCACGCATGGCATTCCAGCAGATGAAGGTACAAAATAATCATCCCACGATACAGGGTAGTAGGCATTAGGCTCATTGAACAAATAGTGCTATAGAAGTTCATCCTGACAAATAATGCCAGGCAGGTTTTATTTCTAAAGCTACAGGCAGGATTTGCACACAAAAAGTGCATAGCTCAACTCATGCCTGGCCCTTAACTCATTTTTTTACTGAGGCTTCATATGGCTCCAGCACAAAACTGTGAAAGTTAGTACATTCAGCTGTGTTTCCTTTTGCTGTACAACGCATGCTAAGGCAGATCTTGGGGAATATTGTTGAAATGGCAGGAAGATGGAATAAAATTACCTGATGCATTATTTTCTCTTCACATTTGCTCTAGCTGAGGTCTCAGTGAGAGGTAAAGCCTGGCTGGAAAACAACCTCCTGCTTCTTGTCTCTTAGATTTCTGCTCAGATTATAAATATGAAAAAGCTGACACTGAACTTTGTGCAATTGTGTGAATTTCCAAATATTATGAGTCCCTTGCTCCATCTCCCTTTTTTTATTATAACAGCTGTGCCACAAGCGGTTTGAGAAAGTGTGGTCCCATGACATTCTGAACTTGAACACTGAGATTTCAGAGCCTGGCTGGCTGGACTTTGGGAAACCAGAGGAAAAAAAATGCAGAGAAAATGAAAGAGCAGGCTGAAATGCAGTTGGAATGACACAGCATCTTCACACTCAGTGACTGGCCTCAGCAGTGCTGCAGGCAGGGTTGTCATGGGAACATGTGTAAGGAATATTTCCCTCATTTCCCCAAGTCCATACCTTCCATGTACTATCCTCAGATTATTGTTTTGAGGTTTTTTTTCTTCATTGGCAAAAATGCCTGAATGAATGATACTTATAAATGTGTTGAGTTGTATAGTTCTGTGTAGAGACAGACTAAGTATGCTAGAGTTTCTCAGCTTTAAAAATGAATGACTGGGATGGACAGGAAAGTAAAATCATGTCTGAAAAACCAGGAGGGGCATGAAGAAAGGGAATGAGGAAGCAGTGCTCACTGTTTCTCACAGTCTTAAGAACCAGAAGGGATGCGATAAAATTATAAGGTTTGAAAAAACCAAAAGATACGTTTTCATATAGATTGTTAAAGTAATTGTTACAGCATGATATTGAGGCCAAAGGTGTAAATTTGCTAAAAAAAATGGATTAAAGAAGTCTCAGGATCAATGCAGACAGGTTCCTCAGTGGCTATTATTCTGTGTTTCATCTCTGGCTCAGGAGCTCTGTAAACAATTTCTGTATGAAACTCAAAGGATAAATCATGGGGCAATAAACAGCATAAACCATGCCCTGTGCTTATAATCTTTCCTGAAGGATACCATTCTGGCCTTTGGGCTAGGTGGACCTTTCGTCAGACAGATCAGGGCAGTTCCTGTAATATGACTTTAGAGCTAATTCCAAACTTGTCTTGCCTGCATGCAAAAGATCCTGTGTAATTTCTAGTTTTCTGCTTCTTCTTGATGACAAAATGATCTTGTGATGGAACAGTCCAAAACATCTCTCCATACCCATTTACACTGGCATTAGTTGCTTTGAACTTGTGGCATTTTCTTCCCTGTAAAGACAGTCATGCTTAAAAGTGAATTTTCATCTGTCGTGGTTGATCTTCTCTAGCTTTATTATACAATATGCAAGATCTTTGGAAAAGCTCATGACCATCTAATGGGCAGCAATAAAAGCAACAGCCAAAACGTACAAATGTGGAAGCCTTGGCTGGTCTCAGGCATAGCTGATCTGTTTTTCTGTAGCTTTCAGTAGTGATAAGCCTCCCAGTCCTCACAGTGGTAATGTGAACATTTCTCAAATTCAAGCCACTTATTTCAGTGTTCTTATGCAAGCATTTAACTTGGATGGTCAGTTTGGAAAAGACAGATCCTGTGACTTTTAAAGATTTCCCAGGTTATTGTTGATCACTATCTGAATTTATAAGAAATGCAGAAAGGTGCTTTTACTGTTGTTTAGTATTGCTTTCACCAGCACCTTTTCAGTGCATCAGAAAAGTGGAACACAGGACAGACTGCTATGCCATGGATAAAAATTCTTGTGGGATTTAACATCTTTAGTTCATTGATGAATAGATGATACAATAGACTGGAATCAGCTATCAAACATTACCGACAGCCCCTGAAGCAGATAGGCATTTGCAGATGTCAAGAAGCTTAATCCGAAAAGGGCAGGCTAGCCAATAGCAGCATTCTCAACTTTCTCTTCTAATGATATCATTAAGTCATGAAGGGTGGCACAATATCAATTAGTTATTCATTGTTGCAGTGTCTTGTAAAAAGCTCTGATTAACCTTCTGCCAGACAGAGCATTCATGTGCAGCTTTGTCTTGCCTTGTTCCCTCTTTTAACAATTGCCTCAGGAACAAGGATTTCTCCAAGAAATGGGTCAAGGCACTTTGAAGTACTCTGGCCTTGGAGTATTTGCAATTACCAAAGCAGAACATTGCCAGATGCCTTGAAATCGATAGGATGATGACCTCCAAGCAGCTCTTGTTTGCTTCTCCTCAGGGGAACACTGAACCTGGTCAGCTTCCAAAAAAGGGCCCTGTATGGGTGGGCACAAAGTTTAATATTTTCCCTCTTGAAAAGAAAAAGGTGGACTTGCTGATAAAACCAAGACAGCTGCATTCAGCATGACTTAATTTTGCCAACTAATACAGGACTCAGAGGGTTGCTCACTATTTATTATGATTTTGTGTTTCACAGATGGAAGTAATGTCTGAAACACACTGGTTGTTTTCCAAACACAGCAAAGATTCAGGCCTTTGGCAATCGAGGATGCAGTTTCAAAAGGCATGCCTGGTTCCCCATCTGATACTAACTAAGAGACCTTTATGTTCAATACACTGCCCAAACTATCTGTAACTAGTTCTGCTCCATAACATGGGGTCACCTCTCCTTTGTCTTTCAATGACCCTACAACAGCACCAACTTTGATAATGACTTACAAACAAGAAATAGGCAAGCCTGTTTCTCCTTTCTGTCTTCCAACTCCTTTCTTTGTCGTCCCTTAACATCAGGATATATTCTTCCAGTTGAATCATAAGGCCTGCAAATTTAACCAGTTCAAAGCCTGCAGTGATGGGAATTTATCCATATAAGCAGGCAAAAAGCCAGAATAATCAAACTAATTAAAACCTTATTCTTGCTTTCAAATAGGAAACAAAACTCTTTCTATGGACTGGCTAGCTGATGTTTTGGTCCCTGGACAGGTGCTTTACACTGTGGCTCCTTCACCATTACAGTATTTCTATACGGTTAACATAATGGATTAGGATGAATGCACTTGGATTTTTAAACTATGTAGGTGACGACTCCCTAGCTACACACTTACAATATGCTCATGGGTGTAGCATCTCTGAAGATGCCAATGTCCCTGTACCTGCAGATGCAGAACAGATCTATCTCTACACTGAGGGCTGGCATTAGGCATATGCGTCACTTATGGGTCAAATCCAGGTCTGACCTTTGGAACTTAAACTGGTTTGAGGAATGCAATGGCGTTTAGCACAGGGCAGAATTTAGCTTCTATGGCACTTTCATGGGATAAAACACCCCAAGCAACAAAGGT